CACAGTGAAAATTAATGGACTAATGTTTAGTATTGTAATTATATTATCCCAGATGTGTATAAGAGACAGCGCTTCCTGAGATTTGATTGGTTGCACATTTTTTTCGCTTCGCAAAAATTTCGATAGAAATGTAAATGCGCATGCGCATAAACCGATGCTTTCGATTCGCGCGAATAAATTTGCCTAGTGAAAAAAAGGCTTAACAGAAACTAAATTGAACGTAAGATAAGTCTGTTTTCCAAAGAATGTTGACCAATGACACAAAAAGCAAACTGAGAGCATAGGTCTCGAACTCACGACTGACAAACGCCCTACACCTGATGCTAAAATAGATTTAACTGCATAATCAAAGCCTTAACTTTTACTTTAATACTTACACTGCATATTGTTAACAATGTCATTGTGTTCACTATCGTCCTGAAAGCGAAAATGAAACATTTCTCATTGATTTTTCCTGACCTGTTTGAAGGCCTCACTGATATATCGGCAAAGCATAGAGGAGGCTTATGAGATTACAAAGAAGAAGAGTAAGAGAGAGAAGTGGGAAATATTGAAAGAAGTAAAATAGGAGATAAAGAAAAGTAGCTCTATACACACTACAGCCTGTCTCTTATACACATCTAGATGTGTATAAGAGACAGTATATATATATACCAATTTATTAGACCATTTTATTACAATTTTATCATGTTGAAGAAAATTATTTTTATTGTTTTGCCAAGTGTTTTGCGTGAGGACCATAAAATAAGTTTTAATTTTATTGTGTTATCCTCGGATTTCTGTTTTATCGTGTTGTTATATTGTTTTTTATTGTATGAGTCCGAAATAAAGTCAATCAGTCTATCAATCAAAGTCAACTATTTCGTATGCTATTAACTGATGGGCCTACAACGTATAAATCAATTTGCTTCTATTGAGAACAATTATTAACAACCCATAAGGGTAATTGCTGTTATTGTACTTGCTATCTGTGTGTGAAAATATGTCCTAAATTACATTTAATCCGCTTAGAGGAAGCCGTGATCTTCTCCAGTATTTCGTCAATCCGAACAAAGAATATTTTCTACAGTCAACAAGTATGCGGTCTATTTGGGTAAGCGAGGAAACGGAGGAGTAAATTCTAAATGATGATTGGACTGATTAATGGGATTGAAAGAGGTATTGTACGAGACCTTTTTTGTCTAAAAATACAAGAAGCAAAATCATGATGGGAGGTATGGGTATTGGGAGAACCGTGTCTCTTAACTTTGCGCTTTAAATGGCGGTCATTTTACCTGCACATAGCATAGTGAGAAGTTAACTCGGGTCTCTAATTAAACCATTCTAATTTCCATTTATGTTTCAAAGATTTTTAGCTTAAAACATTTCAGCGGATGTGACGAATAAATACATTGCGTATCGTAACGTAATTATAGTTCGTATGATTTTCATATAGGCCTACTCATTGGCGAAGAAATTCACAGTACTCCTCTTTGGGATAATTAAGGGGCCACCCTTCTGAATGGGACATCCCTATTAAGGGGACAATTTTCGGCCACAAGACGAGAAATACTATATCTTTTAACACTATACGCCAATCCCTATTCGGTCCCGAAAGTGTCCCCTTAAAGCCAGGTTCCGGAGGAAATTTTTTTATATGTTGTACCGTCCTGATTTTCTAAGACACAAAATGCATAGGGGACTATATGACGAAAAACTCGGAAGCGGTTAATGATAGGCCTACCGATTTTTGAATATTTAAAAACCGAGGGAAAAGGGGCGTAACCCCCTTTTTTCCATCTTTCCCGAGTTTTTAAATATTCAAAAATCTGTATCTCATTAACCGCTCCCGTTTCCCGTCACATATGGTTTACTGTTTACTGTATACTGTTAGTCTAATGTTTCACGTAAAAAACAAGAAATAATACACTCTGTACTATTGTACACTTACCAAGTGTAGCTGCTGATGTATGGAAGTGATACAGCATGCAGAAACTGATAATGTAAATATATCCCTTCATTGTAGGTTCTCAGTGCTATGAATCGCTGGCTAGGACGGCTCCTCTGACAGTCTATTGGAGTATTGCTTGTCAACTTCCTTGAAGTCGGCACACTTTTCAGCTTTAATTTGTATAGGTGTGGAGCTCATAAAGCGTAATGTGCCATCTAATTCCAAGCTAGTGAAGAACCAAAATTAAAAATTGAGGCTGAAGTGCGTCAATCACTATCTTAGAGGTCTTCATAATGTAGGATTAACTTCACTGAGTCCCTTGCCCATTTTCAGAACTGACTGGATACACATAGAACGTTAGCGAGCAGGAAATTTATGGCGGAAATAATACAATAATTTTTTTATGCTATGGCACGAATGTGGTTTGCTCTAAACGCTTACACGCTTCTTTTGTTATCCAAATAGATGGAATAGAGGTGAATTAGACCCACTTCAGTCAGCAAATACAGTCTTCTTTGTTTAGTTCTATATTTTTTTTTTATCATTTCCGCCTTTGATGCATCTATCTTGACAGTTCTATCGGAACAGGTAATTTACATACCAGGTAATTATTTTTCTATCTGTAAAGCCTATTCACACGAAGCCTCATACTTCCCGACCGGCCGTTTGGGTATTATCATCAAGTGAAATATAATAGAATATTAATTTTATATGCAAATACTAGCAAATAAAATTTCCCAAGAGGATGAAAATAGAATAACAATAAATAAGGAGTTATATTTTCCGAAAAAAAAAAAAAAGAAAAAGAAAAAGAAAAAAAAAAACCTTTTGATTTTCCAAAGGAAAAAAGCCAAAAAACTGCGTCATATCATTCTCAGAAAATGTTGTGCGTTCTATATAATATTTATTATTGGATTTTAGGATGTTATTATTATTACCACCACTATTAATTCTCAATACAAGTAAGTAGGCCTAATAGATGAGAATAAACGCTTCCTTGTTTAAGCGATTGTCATGGTTTTGTTGCATTTGCTCCATAAATCGGGGGGGGGGGGGGGGTAGGTAAGGTACATTCTATTTGTTCCTTTCCACACATCATGTGTATACACTGGGCTATATGAAACGTCTGGTGTGAAATGTGTGTGTATAATGTGCTTTATTCTGAATACAATGTATGACTGATGTGTATAATGTGCTTTATTCTGAATACAATGTATGACTGAAGTGAGAAAACAAATATTTTTTTATATAGATTAACTTCAAATTAACCCACGGAGCATGATGGCATTGTGTATGATTTGAGGCTGGAGGACACCGTGATTACTTGCCGACACAACACCAGTTCTATCGGTGGAAGTACAGTATCCTAAACGACTTGTCCCACGAGGCGTCGTCCCGTCGCAGTCGTATATCGCGTCGGCTGCCGACGTAGTGTCCTGTTTTCATTTTACCAGGAAAAGCACTGTATAAATATCTGCAGTATTATTTTACTAGTTTTCGTATTTTGCTATTGTCTTCATGATGTTTTCTTATATGAAGATCATCAATAAAATAATAAAAAATAGTTTATATTACCTTTGAAACAGCATTATCATGCAAGCGGTACAAAATTTATGGAATATATTTTTAGGATTATACTGTCTGTAGGCCTATTATTAATCTAACAAGAAAGAAAAAAAAAAACTAATTCTGTTGGTAACCCGGTGTAGGCCTATCTGTTTACAGGTCTCTCCAATAAAAGATGACTATACCGAGTTTTTTGTGGTCTGTAGCAGGTTTGGTCTCTAATTAAAAATAATCATCCAGGGCCAAAGAATAGTGGACTTTAATTCTAGATAGTCTTTATTTGGATGGGTCTTTAACGGACCTTTCAGGAGTATCAATCAAACTTAATTGTCCAATCAGAACAGGACCGGGAATACGTGCTTATTCCACAAACGCACGTGTTACGTACAATTTACCCACTGTCATTTTTTTTAGGACCCTAGCAACAATATCCAAGGGGCGGGGCTTAGCGGAATGGTCCATGAGAGGGAGACCTGTATTTAGTGAGTTGATAAATTTCTATTTACAAAATCCGAAGGAGGTGGAAGTATTTTCGTTTAAACCCCGGGTCAATAGTCCCACAATTAATAAAATTATATTCTTTGCATAATACTCACTTAAATTAACAAGCCGACTAATGGTGTGATTCTCTATATAATTTAAACCTTCTGGAGTTATAGACAGCATACATGATGAGCAAGCCGGTCTTTCACATGTTCCGCTGGCCAGACATTCATATTCGGTCACATGCACAACCATTGCCGCTGGAATTCTGGGAAGGTCATGGACAGTTTCCTAATTTATTCCACCATTTGTGGTTCGTGGAAAGAATGTAGCCTGCACATTTGTACGTGTACAAAGAGGATTACAAGGTGCTGATTATAACTTGTAATCAAGATGGAAGTCCCCTCCAATTAAAGACAACTTTTGGTACCGGGGTTTCCATTGTCTTCAGCAGCTTTGGTCTCTAATTCAGGGGTGACGCCAGGATTTACCCGACGGGGGCAGGGGTCCGATTCCACGACAAGAGCAAAATGGGAGTGGTCGAACGTCGCTTAAAATGTTTTTAAAGTGGTCCGGGGGCGAAGCCACCAAAAAGTTTGACAATTTAGGGGTTTCAAAGGTTTATTTAATCGATTTTAGAGTCTACTATGTAGAAAATACATTATTTTTTCTTCTTCCCCCACCCCCTCCTCTAATTATAATTGCAGTAGTCTAAATTAGAATAATAAATATATGACATTTGTTAATACAGGACTACAAAATATTAGTCTTCAATTAGAGACTGTTCCACTAAACATGCTTTGATGATTATAAAATAAACTTGTCCCTGCTCCTAATTATATATGGAATTTTTCTTTGTCAATCATCAATAAACTGTTTAAAAATCTGTCAATAGACCTTTCCGGATTGTCAATGAAACTTAACAACTGACTAATCAGAACAACGCTAGGAATACGCGCGCGTCTCACAAACACACGCGTTGTCCCACAAACGCACGTGTTCACCTATGTTTTAACACTGTCACAGGGCTTAGCGGAAAGGTCCATTATTACTATGATGAAATTGTTAAGAGATTATTTGGTGTTTTTCAATTATTAGAGTATAGAGGAAGAAGCAATATTTTCTCCCATGTACATGTATAAAGCAGAAACATGTTGCACATCTTTTCTTCCCCTGGATCCACCACTGAATCATAAATAACAAATAAACAGACACTGATGCACATACAGTAATCATTTTTATTAGACCTGGTTTCAATTCAGTAGAGACATAAACGTTCCATGAGCCAAACTCGCAAGTGCCAGAATAAGGAAAAAACAATTGCTATATTTGTCTAGCGATAACGACGCATCTGCAGGGTATTGCGACGCTTCCAGGATGCACGGCGCGATCCTCCCTGGGTTTGTTTGTATAAATGTCCTTTTCCAAGTCCTCGGCTCTTTTTGGCTACAAAAAAATAATAAAAAATAAATTATGAATATGTATTCAAAAATATAGAAATATTAATTGTACTGAAAATATTAAATATAAGTATATGGCACAGTTGTATACTAATGCCAAATGCACATAAAATTAATTTAGGTTGTTTATAATTTTCTTTGACACCTTATTATATATTACTGTAATATGCCTGGAAAAATAGTTTTGATTTATGGATCTGTCTATCTAGGTAAATATGTGTATAAATTTGAGGCTATTTTTGGCCAAAATTTCATTTGCAGCAGACTTTGTTGCGTGAAATAGGTGATCAGAATTGGTAACTGCAGCTCCTTGTGGTCTGAGTTAGGAAAACACTGCTTAAATTCTTGATATACAATATGATACTGGTTTACATTCCTACTATACAATGGATGGTACTGATTATATTCTTGATATAATGCATGGTACTTGTTTATATTAACACATAACATTGCCTGTGTATATCTTTACCATAAAATGTATGCTACCAGATGATATATGGCTACATTCAGATATAAGCCAGGCTTGAGTTAAGCCCGGCTCAACGCTAAGCCCAGCTTAACTTTGCCAGGCGTTCAGACTAACGGGATTAGCCAGGTGCGAGAATTTTCATAATAATGAACTGTAACCAGCAAACGTGTTTCAAAACATTGCTCGCAAAACTAACGCTCGCTCACAGCGCAAGTATTTGAATGCTGATTGGTCGTTTTGTTACCCGAAGTCAATGCAAGACCCCCCGCAATGATTAAAGCCTGGTTTAGAAAAATTAAACACAGTGGCACGCCAGGCCTAGTTACTATAGGAACACAGCCCAACTTGAGATAAGCCACCTAGTTCAGACTGGCAGGTGGATAAACCCGGTGAGTTGAGCCGGGTTTATTCAGCTAGTCTGAACTAGGCCTCTATCATGTAATATATATGGTAGGTGTACTTACATGCAGAGGTGAGTCCACGAAGTTCCCTGTGTTTGTGGACAGGATTGCAAATCCATTGGGTGTCTGGATCCCGACGGATAGCCTTGTGTTGTGGGTCGACAAGGATTACCTCATAATATTTGTAGGTAGAATCATTGGCAACCCAATAGCTGTTGAGGACACGCAAAGCACCGCATCGTCGTCCAACACGGTCCTTTTGGCAGAGAAACAATAAACAGAATTAATAATACAGTATTTGATATGTGTGTATTATAATTCATATTATTTCAAATTTCAAAGTTGACTTTCTCAACTACAGCAGTTGTTTTCAGAACTACTTACGTGGTGTACCGCAAGCTTCAACATATATATTATTTCAAATTTTAATATTATTATTATTAAATACATCAGCACAATATTTGAGATATAAATATTCTGGTTGTACCTACCTCAGCAGTAGCTTGTAGACTTCGTTGATACTTCAATTCATTCACACCCATGTTTGTTGGCTTTCCATATGTGGCTCCCTTTGGCACTGGCCTCTTTCTTCCACCTCGGCGTACACGAACGCGGTAGATTACAAATCCTGAAAAATTTTAAAAAGGACGAAAATATGTTCAGGATATTGTGGAAGAAAAAAGCTAACAAAAATGTAAGCAAATTGGATAAATTTTTAAAAATTTTAGAGCATCAAAAACAGAGCTACCTTGTTTAGCACGATATCCAAGACGACGAGCCTTGTCAGGTCTTAATGGACGTGGAGCTCTGTGAATAGCAGACAGTTGACGTAGCTGCCAACAACGGATGCGGAGCAGGAATCGCATAGCATCGCACTGCTTCTTGCGCCATAGTTCTTGCATGTACTTGTAAGCTCCCATTTTGTAAAGAGCCCTCGCTGTAAGAAAATATAAAATGAAAATATGCACATGATAAAATAATGTAGTAAAGATATAAACAATATACTACTATTAATAATACTACTACTAGTTAGGGAAAAACAGCAGATCTGATGCTGATGTGATTACAAATTAATAATTGATGAATATATGTGAGGAAGATCCACTTCTAACAGCTGCACAGCAGCAACTACAGCATGAAAAGTGGTCAAATTGGCCCCAAACCAGCAGTCAGTGGGTGAAGCACACATAGGTGACTAAGCCTAAGTACCAAACAAGTACTTATTTAGTTTGGAGTCGAGTGTCAAATGGATGGGCCAAATTCAATAGCTTGTTGTATACTGAAGGTGACACTGACCGTGTAGCTCCTAGCTGGGCCTAGACCATTGGCTGTTTTTATGACTCGGGTTAGTAATAGTATTATTAGCTAGGCCCTCCCTGTTATTTACTTTTTTATATTTTATAATATTACTGTAGCAGTACGCCTAGACTAGCCTACCTAGATAGGCCTCCTGCAGTGAATTATGTAGGCCTATGCCTACAGTACTAGGCCTAGCCTAGCGTAGATAGGCCTTTCTCTATAGACTATTCTAGCCTAGGCCTACCTATGTTTTCTCTAACTAGCTGGATCAATTTGCGATAAAAATACAAAATTCTACCCATTAACACTTTCATAAATTAATAATAACTATATAATTTTAGGCCTAGGCCTCCTACCTAGTACTATCTGGTTCTGGGTCATGGTAGGCATAGATAGGCTACAATTTAAGCAACCCAGTACATACTGTATGTATAACACATTCTTTAGTTGGATAGGGACAGGGACAATTGATATTGTTAAACTATAATTCCTAAGTTGATGGTATTTTAAAACAAAATATTACACTGATGACACTTTAGTACATATTCTTTCTAAATAAATTAAAAAACAAATACGATGTAATTACTGTGAAGGCGATTTAATGAAGATTACATAGGACACAACAAATTCACTACCTTGTGAAATTGACGGAGCCCAAAAAGACAGGTCAAAGGTCAGCATTCGAGATTCTATGATTGAATGACATTACTTAGCAAAAACATTTATTAATTTATTTTTTATAATTATAAAATAAATTTATAGCTATTTTATTTGAAGATTTATTGAAGAATCTAAATATAAATGAAGTTAGAAGAACATTAAAGAAATACTGAAAACATGAATTTGCTGCTGATGGCTGATGATGGTTTGAGGGCGCTTTCCTCATTGAATCGTGGAAGTTTTCAACAAAAACAAACCCCTGAAAACAGATCATAATTCAAGGTAATGCCTATTAAAAACGAAATAAGATACATTTCTACAGTATAATTAAAGTGAACTGCTATTCTAATACTTATATTACTGCATTTCTAAAACCACTGTCACTGGTTAGTAATACACTAGGCTAGGCCTAGGCCTAGATCGCAAACAGGTCCCAACCAAGGCCTAGTATAGGCTAGCCTATTTTTTTAGCCAGGCCTTGTTTGGGAATGGTAGACAAGAAAAGACTGGCCAGTGCATGGGGAAGGGGGGGGGGTCTGTCTGGTGGTGGTGGGCTGGGAGAAGTTTTAGCCCAGCAGTAACTTAAAAAATGATTAGGTGCCTAGGGAGCCACCCCAGATGTATATAACTCCGGGGGTATTCTAACTCCGGTCCTACAATACCACACGGAACACACGGGACCACTCGCGACCACTCGAGACCACACGGGTGCAAAAATGATTAAAATATTACCACACAAGAGTATAAAACTGCTATATAATCAATAAAAACCAACTTTTATAATGGTAATTGTCCAAAATATGGTAAAAATGAATTTTCTTTTTACAGGTTTTTCCGTTGTGCTTTGGAAGTTAATGCGTTGACACTGAGGTTCTGTAACGCATTCACGTCTCCAGAAACACGTTCACCTTGACCTCTACCACATTCACTACGTACGTTACATTTCATCCTGCGTGTATGCCTATTGGCCTAAGTATTCTACAATAACTGTATCTGCTTCGTATTTGTATTTGTGTTTTAGCCCAGAGACAAATCTAGTTAACTTCTTATGAATAATGTTTTTGAAGATGGTATTTTGAGATTTTTTCTATGAAAAAAAATAAATAAATGGCAGTAGTACCGCTTTTTGTGTTTTAATGTATTTTTTAATTTTTTTTTTTTTTAATGAAATGTTTCACTGTTTGTTATCTTCTTTGCTGGGATATGCGGAGGACCCGGGATTTTATCCATTTTTGCACCTGTGTGGTCCAGAGAGGTCGCGAGTGGTCCCGTGTGTGTTCCGTGTGGTATTTAGTAGGACCCTATAACTCCACAAAATTTTGGGAACCCATTGCTTTTACAAGATCTTATTATTACTACTCAAGCCATTATGCAAATATATAAATAAGACTATATCTGTCTCTACATACTATACTAGGATACTACTTTTTCTAGGAATTTCTTGTAGTACCAACGTACCGGTCCTACTAAATACCACACGGAACACACGGGACCACTCGCAACCACTCGGGAACACACGGGTGCAAAAATGATAAAAATATTATCACACGAGAGTATAGAACTGCTATATAATCAATAAAAACCAACTTTTATAATGGTAATTGTCCAAAATATGGTAAAAATGAATTTTTTTTTTGCAGGTTTTTCCGTTGTGCTTTGGAAGTTAATGCGTTGACACTGAGGTTCTGTAACGCATTCACGTCTCCAGAAACACGTTCACCTTGACCTCTACCACATTCACTACGTACGTTACATTTCATCCTGCGTGTATGCCTATTGGCCTAAGTATTCTACAATAACTGTATCTGCTTCGTATTTGTATTTGTGTTTTAGCCCAGAGACAAATCTAGTTAACTTCTTATGAATAATGTTTTTAAAGATGGTATTTTGAGATTTTTTCTATGAAAAAAAATAAATAAATGGCAGTAGTACCGCTTTCTGTGTTTCAATGTATTTTTTAATTTTTTTTTTTTAATGAAATGTTTCACTGTTTGTTATCTTCTTTGCTGGGATATGCGGAGGACCAAAGATTTTATTCATTTTTGCACCTGTGTGGTCGCGAGTGGTCCCGTGTGTTCCGTGTAGTATTTAGTAGGACCCTATAACTCCACAAAATTTTGGGAACCCATTGCTTTTACAAGATCTTATTATTACTACTCAAGCCATTATGCAAATATATAAATAAGACTATATCTCTCTTTACATACTATACTAGGATACTACTTTTTCTAGGAATTTCTTGTAGTACTACAGTACTATTATAACTAGGGCCTACTACTGTAGGTTAGCCTACCTAGAGAAGGTACTGAGAAGGTAGAATTTAGAGGGGCTATATAAAAAGTACTGTCAAACACAAAGCCTGCTGAGACTAGTAGTAGTAACTTACTGTAGTACTACTCTTTATTCAGATGCCATTTAACATCCTATTGATTATATTTTTCAGAGATCAAATGAAGTTTAAGATGACATTTGGTAGCTGATGGACTTCACCTGTGTATTATAACTGATTGTTTTAAAATTCAGTATCTTGATTCAGTCAAATTATGATTGCATTAGTGTACTTCACATTTTTGGTTTTAAGCACTTTGGCCTTTGGTCTCAATGTTTTCATTAAGAAAAGTAAAACTGACGAACAAGTAGGAAACAACCCAAATTTTGTGCAATTCCAACATGCGTATTTTCTACCATACTTTTTAGCACTCGCTGCTGATTGGTTGCAAGGTCCATACCTCTACAAACTGTACAGCCACTATGGTTTCCTAGAATCGCAGATTGCCATTCTTTATGTTTGTGGATTTGCTGCTAGTGTGATTTTCGGGACATCTACAACCGTACTAGCAGACCGCTTTGGAAGAAAAAAACTGTGTATAACATTTACAGTTGTATACTCAATATCATGTCTAACCAAACTGTCAAGAAGCTATGGGGTTTTGATCATTGGACGCATTCTTGGTGGGATGTCGACATCTCTTCTGTTTACGGCGTTTGAATCTTGGTACGTGCATGAACACATAGAGTGTCACGACTTCCCAACGGAATGGTTGCCAGTTACGTTCTCCAAAGCCACATTTTGGAACGGAGTCCTTGCAGTAATTGCTGGGCTCGTTGCTAACTTACTTGCAGGTTTTCTGAAGCTAGGACCTGTTTCACCGTTTCTACTTGCAGTACCGTTGCTTGCTGCCTCCGGTCTTATTGTCACTAAGAAATGGCAGGAAAACTATGGCAACAAGAAAATGCAATTGAAAAAATCATGCATCGATGGTTTAAGACATATTGTGAACAGTCAAAGAATGTTGCTGATAGGAGCAATGCAGTCACTTTTCGAAAGTGTTATGTACATTTTTGTTTTCATCTGGACACCAGTCGTTGATCTGGATTACCACCCACCACTTGGTGTCGTCTTTTCAAACTTTATGGTCTGCATCATGATTGGTTCGTTCCTGTACAAGATTCTGACTGCAAATCGTGTAAAGCCGTTACATATTTTGAACGCTGCTATAATATCAGCGCTTGTTGCAACTGTAATCTGCATAGGATCAACGAAATCGCATTATGAACAGCCTAAAGTGTCTTTTCTAGCATTTTTAATCCTCGAGATTGCTTGCGGGTTGTACTTTCCATCGATGGGTTTCTTGCGAAATGAGATTCTTCCAGAAACTCATAAGGTATCTATTATGAACTGGTTTCGTGTACCATTGAACATGATCGCATGCATTGGACTAATGATTCTACATGATGAAGGGTGGAGGAAGGGAACTCGACATATCTTCATCTTATGTTCGATACTGCTCATATTTGCCCTTCTCTGTGGTTTTAAATTTTCAAGATTGTACAAAGATGAGGAAGTGAAGAAGGAAGTAGAAAGTGCGGCATAACTGACAAAATATTTATAATAAATAAAGGCTTGCTAACTATTTTTTCCCCTTAAATTATTCAGATAAAATGTATGTATCCAGCTTTTGGTCATAAGTAAATTGAAGCATGCCATCCCAAAACCAGCATACTGTTACTATGTTAATCTGATGAGGCAGTATTGTATGCTTTAGTACAGGGCAGCTGTAATACTTGTAATCATACTTTGGCAATACTAAGTTTGACCAGTATTGATTCCAGTATGACCTATCATTTTAAAGCTTATAATGTGGAGAATATAAATATTAAAAATTCAGTTTTCATTTTTTGGTCAGTGATGCTGGTTTTAGGATGGAAGCTAAAGCTAAAGACAATTTAAGTAAGTACTGTAAAATGTTTGAAATGTTCTGTTCAAATAATGACATACTGTAAGGAGAACCTGCAATAGTGATTTATGTACTTTGCTTTCTGTAATCTTCACTTTTTCATGTTTATTTTGTTTGTATATTTTTTCATTGCTTGGAAATGCACTGTACTGTAAATATGTAGATTGTGTTTTATTAACCACGTCAACACTTGATGTACTATTTTGCTATTGGTATTTATATAGCACCTGTCCTTTAGGTTACAAAGTGCTTTGTTTTCCCTGGTCATTGGGTCTACAAGTGTAAGTCTTGCTGCCATATAGGCTCAATAGTAGGCAACCCCACCAGGTACCGTACCGATTTATATTTCTGGGTAGAGAGAAGCAATGTAAATAAAGTACATTTCTCAGTTACACCATGGAGGTATTATTGAGAAGGAGATCACTCGGCAAAGCTACGCGCACGCAGCGCTATGC